CTTCTCGTCTTGTTTGCACAAAATCCAAGGTGGCTCAGTTAAATTCTAAACTCACTATTCCAAAAATGGAATTGTGCGCGGCTTTGCTAATAGCTAAACTATATAAGGCAGTCATATCAATATTACCGATCACATTAAATGAAATACATTTTTGATCTGACTCCACCATTACACTCAATTGGATTAACACTCAACCAAGTGCATTAAAAATCTTTGTTGCTAATAGAGTTTCGGAAATCAGGTCAATAACCTCCTTTTCTCAGTGGAACCACGTTTCTACAAAACAAAATCCCGCAGATTATTTATCAAGGGGACAAAATCTACCTGAATTCGTCAAAAATAATAACTGGAAATTCAGCCCCGAATGATTGATCGAAGATAGTTCAAATTGGCCAATTTCTCCCATGCAAAAGGTTCCACTTATTGAATTTCGAAAAACAACAGTATTAACACTTTCATTAAACGATTGATCAATTCTTGAAAAATTATCATCTTTAACTAAATTGATTCGAACAATTGCATACTGTCTAAAATTCGTAAAAAAAATGTCGAAAGGTTACATACGACTCTAATCGACTTTCAATCAAAGAAATGTAAGATTCTCAAAATCGAGTAACAAAATTAGTTCAAAATCAATATTTTGCTCGCAAAATTCATGCTATGCAAAATTCAAAAGAAATAAATAATGCAAGTTCCTTAAAATCCTTAAACCCTTTTTAGATAAAAATGAAATATTGCGCGTTGGAGGTAGAATTGATAACTCAAATGTAACATTTTATCAAAAACATCCGATTCTTATGCCGAAAAGTCATCACGTGACTAATCTAATAATTCGGTACTATCATGAAATTTCACTGTATTCTGGAATTCAAAACACTCATTATCAAATCAGAACTCGGTATTGGATACTAGACGGGAAAAGCGCAGTCAAATGAATAATTAACTCTTGTTTAAAATGTTTTCGATTTCGAAAAATAGAATCACGTTTGATGGACAATTTACCCAAAAATCGATTGGTTCAGTCAAGACTTTTTTTAAATACTGGTATTGATTATTGCGGCCCATTTTTTATAAAGGAAATGAAACATCGTAACCGAAATAAAGTCAAGGTTTATGTTGCAGTTTTCATATGTTTCGTTACAAAGGCAATTCACTTGGAAGTTGTAAGTGAATTAACTACCGATGCATTTTTGTGTTGTTTAGAGAGATTCTTCTTAAGAAGAGGAAAAAATCTTAACATTTATTCCGATAACGGGACAAATTTTGCAGGTGCAAACAAAGAATTGCAGCAATTGTATGCGTTGATTAAAGCTGAAGGTGACAAAATTTATTCAAATTTGGTCAACGAAGAAGTCTAATGGCACTTTATTCCTCCTCGTTCACCGCACTTCGGTGGTTTATGGGAATCTGCTGTTAAATCATTTAAAAACCATTTTTCCATAGTGGGGAATACACTAATGACTTTTGAAGAATTTAACACTCATGTAATTGAAATAGAAGCACTTCTAAATTCACGCCCTTTAACACCATTGTCAACAGATCCAAATGAACTTATTGCGTTAACACCAGGTTATTTCTTAATCAGTGATTCATTAACTACTTTCCCAGGCGTAAATATTTCTAAAACTCCAACAAATCGGCTTTCAAACTGGCAAAATCTTCAAAAATTAAAACAACATTTTTGTCAAAGATGGCATAAAGAATATTTAAACGAATTAAATACTCGAAAAAAGTGGAATCAAACAATGTCAGAAAAGTTTACGCTTGGTGCAATGGTATTGTTAAAAGAAGACAATTTACCTCCACTTCAGTGGATTATTGAACGATTAGTAGAAATTCATCCAGGAAATGATAATGTTGTATGAGTGGTTAGCATAAAAACGGCAACGGGAATTTATAAACGTTCAATAAAAAAATTGTATTACTTTCAATAGAAATTTAGATAAATTGTTAGTAATTGATCGGAAGCGACTCAATGGCTCAATGACTCTTCAAAAAGAAAAAAAGGAAAATTGTAAAAAAAAGTTTAATTTTAAGAATTTTCAGAACTTGTGTGACCAATTTTATAATGTTGTAGGCGGATTATGAAAATAAAAACTTTTAAATTGTAAACCTAATCCTACCAAAACTTAGAAACCGACTTAAAAGTCATACAAAATTTTTTTTTTTTATTCCTTATGACTCCCATAACAGAAATTCACTTGAATTTTCGATTTTTGTCAATTTGGTTAATAATGACAAACTGTCCGAATTTGCCCTGAGTTTTCAAAGTTTTTGGGTAAATGGGGACAGCTTGTTATTTTTAACCAAATTGACAAAAATCAAAAATTCAAGTGAATTTCTGTTATGGCAGTCATAAGGAATAAGACAAAATTTTAGTATGATTTTCAAGTATGTTTTTTTTAAATGCGAGACAAAATAATAAAATAAAATAAAAATTTCAATTGCTTTAACTATTATTATATATCTACTTCAAATTCCATTTAAGTTTTTTCATCCCTTAATACAGTAATATACTTAAGAAAACTTTTTTCTTAAACCTTTCTTAGAAACTGTGCTGTCCCCATTTACCCCAAATTTTATGAAATTTTATAAATCTTGGGGTAAATGCGGACAGTCAATTTCATGCGTTTAAAGCTTATCTAAATTTTGTTCTGCTGCATAAAATTAATCCTAAGAATTTAAACAACAACTTAAAAAAAATAAACCCGCAAATATTACCTTTTAAAGGAAGCAACTTACGTAATTTGTGAAAATTAGGGATTTTGTTCCCATTTACCCCAACTGACCCTACACGACAGCATTTTCTCAGATTGAGAGCGTTGCGCTGAGCTGGTTTTAAATTTATAACTCATAGAAATATTGCTGTCCCCAAATTCCCTTTGGGAGGTGAAAAGGTGATGAATTATTTTTCAAAAAAGTTTTGACCCCTGACAGTATGGCAACACCGCATTATACGATTCTGAAACCATGTTTTCTTTAGTTTTTACATATATACTAAAACATATTTCATTGCCAAAAAAATTTTAAGTGTCTTTTTTCAGAGAATGCCTTATAATTTGATTAACCCATATAATGTCTATATTTTACTTAAAATCTTTATTCATAAAAATTTTTAATAAATTTTGTGAGAGTTGTATTCCTGGCATTAAAACAAATGGAATAATGTATATAAAGTTTACATTTTATTAATGTTTATAAAATTAATTGTTATTTTTAATAAAAATTTGAAATTTTGAATTTTTTATAAAACTAATAATATAAGTGTTTATTATGATGAGGACGCTAAATGGTCATAAAATGAACAACCTTTTCTGTAAGCTTTTCTTCTGCGTCAACACAATTAACTTTTATAAAGTCTTCTGAAAATTGTTGCCTAAATTGATCCCATAACACATGAGAATTTGTAGGCCGAAAATGAATTAAAATATATTCGTCAAATAATTGACGAAGTGAATGAGGCATCATCCGCATTGTGGACACATTTCCCAATCCGTTTTTCCCAATAGTTAAAATTCGCAATCTTTCTTTTTCCCATAGTCAACTTTTCTCAACATATTATTTTCCCAAAGTATGCTTCTCCCAACCTATTGATTTCAAAAATTATACTTTTTCCAATATAATGTTTTCACAACCTTCAATCTTTCAACCAACCAATTTCATATTATACTTGGTAATCTTTTTTGTTTCTTCTTGTCAAACTGCGTCAAAATTGTCTAGTCTTTTTTCATTCAATTTCAATTATAAGTTTCATAATTCATAGTTAATCATGGCTGCGTTAAAAAAACAAGAGGGAAAGGATCTTTTTTACACGTTGAGGAATTTTATATCACAAACATTCTGAAAAAAATGGCCGCATTTTTTGGAATACATCTTCTTCAAATATAACTTTACATTAAATTAACTTTACAAAAATATGGAGTTGTGTTCAATATTAAGAGCGAATGTCTGACCGTTGTGAAAAATTTTATATTTGGGAAATTTAGCTATTGTGAAAATCTTTTTTGGAAAATATTAGTTGTGGGAAATATATTCATCAGAAAGATTGATGTAGGAATAATGAATTGGTAAATGTGTCCTACAATCTCTAATGCCAAACAAGCAAATTGAATGAATCATTTATTACACCGTTAACAGTTTTGAAACTTTCAAATAAAATTCAAGCGTTTGATGCAAGAAGAGAGAAAGATAACTGTGTATTGTATTAAAAGTTTTTGGGTTAGGTAAATCCAAAAGGTCAGATTTAAAAAATTCAAAATAGCGGACCTGATATGGCGACCCAATATGGCAGAAAATTTTCTAATTGATTCGATTCGTTTAAAATTCGGTATTCGATGGTTTTTTGGGACGCTGAATCCAAATTTTAGGTCAAATTTAAAAAATTCAAAATGTCAAACTAATATGGCGGAAAATTTTTACTTTGTCCTGTTTCGTGTTTTTTCTTATTATAAAACTTATGTACACCAAGTTTCAACTCGAAAAAAATTTTGTTTTTGAGTTACATGTTTTTTTAGATATTCAAAAATTTTATTTTCTCCGAATTTGCTGAACCGATTTTCATAAAAAAAATATAAGTCGAAATTTTTTTGAGGACCAAATTATTTCTTACAAAATTAGAATTGGAAATTTATTAAATGAAATGAAAACATTGGTCTAATATTTAATTTTAAAAATCAAGAAACTTATACTTAAGATAATAAAAAAATGTTCATGTTGCGTAAAAGTAACTCTTGTTTTCAAATGGTTAATCAAATTCTTCTTTATTATTATAGTTTAGTAAAACTAATTAATTACTATACAATTTTAAAACGGAACATTAAACTTTCATAAGGTAAAACAATTTACCAATGTATCCGGAGGAACTCTCTTTGTACCGTCCAATAACAATAACTCAGATTTACAGTAATGGTTGCAATTGGAAGCTACCATTTTGCTCGGTTTTGTAAACGTTCCAGTATTGAAATGGCTATTCTACGTAAATAACGTATATTTAATCTCACCAAGAAACATTCCAACCATACTTGGTATACTGGTGCCGGGTGGTTCATCAGGACCAGCTTCTAGGAGGAGAACTTTCCATTCTGAAATCTCACTTAATCTAGAAGCAACTACGGAACCCGCCGATCCTCCTAGAGTTGACAAAATATAATAATAGTTTGACATTATCATTTTGCAAAATTGAATATAATATTTTTTTATTTTAATACATGATTAGTATAAAACATTTGTCGTGGTTAATAATTTTATTATTAAACACAAACTTTAGAGCATTAAGTGAGTACTTTAACCATGAAGTATTTTTAAGATTTATCAAAAAAGTAAAGAAGCCTAAATAGTACATCACCCGGCTAAAAAAACTTGTACAAGAAAATGTACAAGTTCTTGTACATGTTCATTAATGAACTTGTACATTTTCTTGTGCATGTTCAAGTAATGTTATTGAACAAGTTCAGCATCCGGAATTGAGACATGTTCTTGTACCAGAACTTGTACAAGATCTTGGATAAGAAAATATACTTGTACAAGAAAATGTACATGTTCTTGTACATATTTTTTGTGCAGATTTCATGTACAAGTACTTTTACATGAACACGTTTATGTTCTTGTATAAGAACATTTGTTTAAAAATGTTTTTGAAAAAAAATTGAAATTTTAATAAGTTATAATTATTAAGAATCTTTACTTATGTATGCTAACAATTATTGCGCAGCTGTAAAGGCTTAAAAAAACTACTGCGCAGACTTTAAAGTTTTTAATTTTTAATTTAAAAGACATAAGTGAACATGTACAAGAACATGTTCCACATCTGGTACAAGAAAATGTATATGAAACCTGCACAAAAAAATATGTACAAGAATATGTACATTTTCTTGTACAAGTATATCTTCTTGTACATGTTCTTGTACCAGAACTTGTACAAGAACATGTCGCAATTCCGGATGCTGAACTTGTTCAAGAACATTACTTGAACATGTACAAGAAAATGTACAAGTTCATTAATGAACATGTACATGAACTTGTACATTTTCTTGTACAAGTTTTTTCAGCCGGGCAGAGGATCACAATTGCAAAAATCTAACACAACAATCCATTATTACATTCGGATATTCAGGATATCTTAAGAACTTCACAGGAGAAAATTTCCTCATTGTCAATAAGTTTATTCAAAAAGTTGAGTAAAAAAACTATTATGTATGTCAGATATAATTTTAATTGAGATAGAGATATTGTAGACACAAGGTATCACCAGATAGTAAATAAAATCACCAATATTTTATTTATAAACATAATCAAAGTAAAATTTATTTAAATAATATTAAAACATTAACATAATTGATAGTAAAAAGTGTAAGCCCACACAGCACAATATATTGCTATAAGCTTACCTCAACCTTACATGTAAGCTTTGTAAGCTAACAATGTAAGCTTTAGGTAAGGTCGAGGTATGATAAAAATGTCCGCAATACAGTAAGCTTACAAAGTATGGCCATGGTAAACTTACATGGCAAGGTTACTGCAAGGTTATAGTAAGCTTACACGGTAAGTTTTCAAGGATATCACTAAATGGCACTTACGGATGCGCAGTAAATTTTTTTAAGCAAACCCTACAGGGGTCTTTTTACATAAATGACAAAATAAATATAATTGTGAAAAATAATTTATTGTTTACTGTAAATTAATAAATTAAAACTTTGTTATATGTTAGCAATAATATATTCTTACTGTAACCTTACAGTGACCTTACTGTAGAAACTTACAGTGACATTACCGTGTAGCTTACAGTGCCCCTACCATGTAAGCTTACCATGACATTACCATTTAAGTTTACCATGGCATTACTGTGTAAGCTTACTGTATGACGGACTTTTTTATCTTACGTCGACCTTGCCTGAAGCTTACTGTGTTAGCTTACAAAATTTACATTTAGGTAAGCTTACAGCGACATATTGTGCTGCGTGGGAGATAGTAACAAAATAAATTCACTGCTGCACACTGCCAAACACATTCTTGCGAATATCAGACTTTTCAATTTACACGACCGTTTCATCATTTCTAACACTCTTCCCTTGTATTTTTCTCTCATTTTACTCATTTCCTGCATTTCCCTAATTGTCAACACTCTCTATTTTTATTTTCTCGCGTACATAATATTACCCTACTGAAAATCCCTGTACAAGATCTTGTACAATTTCCTGTACAGGATCAGCAACTGAACTTGTACAAGTTCTGACCAGTTCCTGTACAGGAAAATGCATACGAATTTGGAACAAGTTCATGTGTGAGATCTGGTGCAAGATCTTGTACAAGAAAGATACATCCCAGACAGCACCGTTTTTCGCAGGGAGTTCGCGGGGAGTTCCCCGTGTTAAGTTCGGAAACTAAGTTGGGGAGCTTCAGGGGAAGTTCAGGCGAGCTCTATATGTCCTCGGTTTTATAACTCGCGGTGCGAAGTTCAGGATAGTTATCCGATTAAGTTTGCCGAAAAATTGTGGATAAAAGTTTAGGAAATATTAAATTTTGAGTTTTACAGAAATTTGCTTTGTGAATTTCTTTAAAACTATCTTCGGAAAGTACTCTAAAGATATATAGACAAATTTCCTGTAAAATTAAAATGCAAGTTTTCAGTGAATTTTATAAGGTAAGTTTATTATAAATGTTTTATAATATTTATTAAATAAAAGTAAAATTAAAAAAATTTATTTTTCCCTTATTGCGCTTTCTTTTATTTTTCCCCAACATTAACGGCGCAATTTTCGGAAATAAATTTGGAGGAGCTGGGGATTGAACCCGGACGCGCAACACAACAGCCAAGAACCCTAACCACTAACCTAACCAACGACCTGAAGGTGGGTAACTTTCGGGTCTTTATAAGCTGCAAGCCTTGTCGTCATCAGTTGACACGAATGGCGGGAAAATTTAAAAATGTTTTCAACGAAATATTTTTAAATTCTATTATTAAATTAGTGTCATAATTAAAAGGGCATTGAAATAATATTGCAATGTTAATATTAATATTATTTGTGAAACTAGCAGCTATATAAAACGATTTAAGGTAATTCTTTAAAAATGAAATTTATTAAATACTGAATCTCGTTATAAAAAATTCTGGACTTGTCAAATTTTTATTAAATTATTATTCAATTAAAAGTAACATAATTAGAAAAACTTTTTGAACATTTATCAACGTATGTTTATGGCTTTTATCATTAATTAATTAATTAAATTTACCGAGATGTATGGTGGACATTTAAATCGTCAATTTGTAATTTGATAAATTAATTTAAAAATTAAAGTATCTGCATTTTATAATAAATATTTATAATTATTTATCAATAATAATATAAATTATTTATAATAATTGTAAATAAATTTCTTGCATTCTTTAAATCAAAATTTTTTATACAACGCAATGTTTTTTCATATTTTTTATAATAAAAAAACATATCTGTATTAAAACACAAAACACACTGTAACACGTCGTATAATATATATAGTAATTTAAAAAAAAATTATGTATTTACAAAAATTGATTCAAAATTTCAATAAAAAAGGAAGGATTTTTTTATTGTACCAACATCAATTTAATTATAGAAGGATTTAACTCATCCAGTCACTTTTATTAGATTTAAAAAAAAGTATTAAAATCTAGTTTTGTGGGATAATTGTTTTTTCAAATAACTGTGAACCGTTTTGGAAATACAATTGTTTTTACAATTTTCTAAAAGTCTTAAATAAAAATTATGTCTTTATCGAATTTTGAAAAAAGACAAGTTTTTCACGTAACCGTCTTAAAATCCAGCAATAAAGCTTTTTCCTGTTTTTCCCTGGTCAATTCACAACATTGCTCAATAGGTAAATATTTATTAAATAATAATATATTAAATATTAATACTTAAATAATATTAAATAGTTAAAAATATAAATGAAGTAATCGTAGCTAATTACGATTTTTAATTAATTTATAGATATAAAAATTAATAATAAGTTTCTTTATTATAAAAAATATGAAAAAACATTGCGTTGTATAAAAAATTTTGATTTAAAGAATGCAAGAAATGTATTTACAATTATTATAAATAATTTATATTATTATTGACAAATAATTATAAATATTTATTATAAAATGCAGATACTTTAATTTTTAAATTAATTTATCAAATTACAAATTGACGATTTAAATGTCCACCATACATCTCGGTAAATTTAATTAATTAATTAATGATAAAAGCCATAAACATACGTTGATAAATGTTCAAAAAGTTTTTCTAATTATGTTACTTTTAATTGAATAATAATTTAATAAAAATTTGACAAGTCCAGAATTTTTTATAACGAGATTCAGTATTTAATAAATTTCATTTTTAAAGAATTACCTTAAATCGTTTTATATAGCTGCTAGTTTCACAAATAATATTAATATTAACATTGCAATATTATTTCAATGCCCTTTTAATTATGACACTAATTTAATAATAGAATTTAAAAATATTTCGTTGAAAACATTTTTAAATTTTCCCGCCATTCGTGTCAACTGATGACGACAAGGCTTGCAGCTTATAAAGACCCGAAAGTTACCCACCTTCAGGTCGTTGGTTAGGTTAGTGGTTAGGGTTCTTGGCTGTTGTGTTGCGCGTCCGGGTTCAATCCCCAGCTCCTCCAAATTTATTTCCGAAAATTGCGCCGTTAATGTTGGGGAAAAATAAAAGAAAGCGCAATAAGGGAAAAATAAATTTTTTTAATTTTACTTTTATTTAATAAATATTATAAAACATTTATAATAAACTTACCTTATAAAATTCACTGAAAACTTGCATTTTAATTTTACAGGAAATTTGTCTATATATCTTTAGAGTACTTTCCGAAGATAGTTTTAAAGAAATTCACAAAGCAAATTTCTGTAAAACTCAAAATTTAATATTTCCTAAACTTTTATCCACAATTTTTCGGCAAACTTAATCGGATAACTATCCTGAACTTCGCACCGCGAGTTATAAAACCGAGGACATATAGAGCTCGCCTGAACTTCCCCTGAAGCTCCCCAACTTAGTTTCCGAACTTAACACGGGGAACTCCCCGCGAACTCCCTGCGAAAAACGGTGCTGTCTGGGATGTACAAGAAAATGTACATGATATTGTACAATTTCATGTATAAGTACTTGTACATGAACACGTTCGTGTTCTTACACATGTATAGTTGTACAATTTTTTTTTTTAATAAAATTTGAGATTTTGATAATTTTTAACCACTAAGATTCGTAACTCATGCATGCTAAAAACTATTGCGCAGCTGTAAAGGTTAAAGTAAACTATTGCGCAGCCTTTGAAGTTTTTAATTTTTAGTAAAGAAAAACATGAATTAACATGTGCAAGAACATGGACGTTTTCATGTACAAGTACTTATACATGAAATTGTACAAGATCATGTACATTTCCTTGTACAAGTATCTTTCTTGTACAAGATCTTGCACCACATCTTGTTCAAGATCTTACACATGAACTTGTTCCAAATTCGTATACATTTTCCTGTATAGGAACTGGTCAGAACTTGTACAAGTTCAGTTCCTGATCCTGTACAGGAAATTGTACAAGATCTTATACAGGGATTTTCAGTAGGGTACCCTATTGTTGGTCCTCCAACACAAGTAATTTTTTTATTTTAATGTAAATAATAATAATAATAATAATCCTGACGACCTTGAGAAATGATGATAATTTTTCGATAATTACAGATAAATTATTGAGTTCGTTTTTTCGAGCTAATCCAGAAGGCTCTTAATTTGTGACTATTTTTGAAAATTCGCGTAGTTTATCTACATGGCGCCTGGGATGTTCCCAATAAATAATAAACGGATTTTCGGGGGCTTGTTTAATTTAAAGCGTGGAATTCAACAACCCAAATTTTGATCTCGCCATCGTCGCCATTTTTGTAGCATCGAACAAGTGTCATTTCCACTTTACACATGTTCACCGTTACAATACAAAAGGAAATAACAAATGTTCTATATTTTAAATCACCGTAGGCTTTTTATTTTTATCATAAATTATTTTACTATAAATAATGAAATACTTACCACCAATCACAATAAAATCGTAATAATCTTCAGCAGGATTTATAGGAATTATTCTTTCACATAGTTGAGAAACCTCTCTTTTACCTCTTATGAATGTATCCAAAAGTGTCATAAATAATACAAATTGTGATCCTGGACAACCTTGTGACAAAGTTGGACCTAAGAACGGTTCCGAACAATGAGGTATTGATGATAGTTGATAAGACATTCTAAAAAAGTTGTTAATTATAAATATTACAATCCTTATAAATAAAAGTACATTCTTTCTTATAGGTCTATTCCCTATTGAAAATCCCTGTACAAGAAAATGTACATGTTCAGCAGCTGAACTTGTACCAGATCTAGTAAAGAACATGAACAATTTCGGCAACAGAATTTGGACAAGTCCTTGTATCAGATCTGGTATAAGAAAACACCATAGAGATATAAGAATAGAGTGCGCAAGCTTGTACAATTTCCATGTTACGCTGCGATAAACCAATAGAAGAAGACAAATGTAACTAGTGGGCCCTGCCTTCCTTCTTGTCTTACTAACTCTGAAACATCAGTGAAACAATGGTGGGAAAGGGTCCTACAAATCGCATCTTTCTTTGTCTGTCCAACGCATATAATCTGTCGTTTTTTCGAGTCTTTTGCGCACTCTATTCTAATATCTTTATGGAAAACACACTTGTACAAAAAAATGTATACATGAAAAAAAATTTTTTTGACAAAAATTTCAGATTTTAATAATCTTTAAACATTGAAACTCTTCACTTATAGATTTTAAAAATTATTGCGCAACTGCAAAGTCCTAAGAAAACTACTGCACAGCCTTTAAAGTTTTTAATTTTTACTAATGCTTGTCCAAGTACAGCCAGTCTACCCGAAGACTTCCGAACATGCACGAGCAATACTAACGGTTCCATTTTTATTCTTTTATCGTAATGCTTTTACTGATTGTTTAAACCAGAAAGGTAAGTATTCGACATGAGTGCTCAAATTTTTATTATTATTAAAAAAACAAAAAAGTATTATTTTTTATTCATTTACTTCATTTTAATTAAGAATTATAAAAATATTAATTAATTGATAATATTAGTTATAAAATTATAAAGTTTTAAAAATGTTAAAAATCTTTTATTTTAATAAATATTTATTTTATACGGAATAAATTCTTTTAAACTAATATGAAGTATGAAAAGTAATTGACAAATTCCGAGCTCCGGGAGCTGTACTTGAAAATTCAAATTTTACTCAATTGCGCGCTGAACTTAAAAATAATTAAATTTCAGAACATTTGAAATTGAAAATTTTAAATATATTTTAATGAATAAAAATTGAAGCGGGGGTCTGTATTTATTACACGGACGGAGAATTTTGATCGTGACAACATCTTTTCTAATTAATTAAAATATATTTTATAAGATTATTATTTAGTATTTATTTTGTATATAAACACACTGAAAAAAAAATTTATTTGATTCAAATAATCGGTTGCTTGACTATAATCAAATAAATATTTACTTGAACCAAATAATTTTTATTTGAATTAAGTAAATTGTACTTGTACCAATAATATTTGTATCTGAAACAAATACCATTTCATTGACTCAAATAATAATTATTTGATGCAAATAAATATTTATTCGATAATGATCAAGTAACTGATTATTTGAATCAAATAAATTTTATTTCAGTGTATGAATTTAGAATAAACTGACAATAATTTCCAAAAACAATTAAATTTAAAAATATTCAAAACGAAATGCCACTTTATTGCCAATTGCTGAAATTTATCACCGGAATAATATCAAAACATAACAGAATACATCTATGATTGAGGTTATGTTTTGATATTATTTCGGTGCAAAATTTAAGCAATTGAGGACACTAATGCAATAACCAGACGGACGCTCGGACCGGCCGCGCTGAAGCAAGTCGACGAATGAAAAAGTCGAAAAAATTAAAATTCAAAATTTTGATTTTTGAAATATACTACGTTGTAGAAAATAAAACGGCACATTTTTTTTTCCTTTAACTTTTTTTTGTAGAATGAATAGTTTTGACAATAATTGCAAAAAACTAAATATTTTCAAACAACAAATTTTATTGAATTTTTAAACACAAATCGTTCCAGTTCCGACAAATATTAATGAATTTACTTCAAATTTGGTATACCCACGCATTTAGGTCTAGAGAAGACGATAGCATGATGAAAAAGTTAAAAACCGTAAATTATTTAATTATTTATTAATTTAAATAATAACTTACCTGTACTCTCGTTTTCCTATCTTCGCCGAAAAAAAGTCTGTGGGGAACTTTTTCGTTGAAAAAACTTCCAGTGAGACATTTGTTCCTCACATATCGAAGAAGTTTTGTGGAAAAATTCAGATCGATTTATTCAAAACTGACGAAGATACACAATTTTTAATGAAAAACACGCAACGCCAATCAAAATAACTCCGCGATCCACGATCCAACACTGCCAGACGGCATTGTCGATAAGGTCGATGTTCTAAATGCATCTAAATTATGTTATTTTATCAAATTACTCAAAATCATAAAGTCATAATTTTTCAAACAGGCTACTTAAAATTTTCAAGAAAAAATTTTTTTTCAATGATAAATCATTTTTTATTTCTCGAATGATCAGAATAATCTGATAATAATTCTATTTATTAAAGTTTTTAACAGTTTACTTTTTAAAGCTGAATTAAAAGGAAATTTTTTGAAATCCAATCGACTGAATTTATAAATTTATTTGTATTCATATTTATTTATATTTTTTATACTTATGTCAAAACACAAAATTTTATTTCTCTTAATAAAATTTTATTTAGGACCTCGAGCATGTTGCTAATCTACTTTAAACTTGGTTAAAATAACCAAAAAAGTTCAAATGTACAAAATAATATAAGTCCAATATTTTAGTACCAATGTTATTTTTTTTCTAATATTGTAAAATATTACAGAAAAACTTCAATCGTTTGAAAATTTTAAACTTTGTTAATTAGTTGCTTCACTGCTTTTTAGATTAAAATTTTCAATAACTTTATTTCAATTTCATGTTTTTAATACATTTTTACTGATTACGTTAATAAATTAGACAATTCATTGGAATTTACATTTTAAAGCAGACTAAACCAAAAAACTAAATAAATTAGAAATTATTTTTTATTTCAATTTTAAAAAAAGTATTTAACAAAGAGAATAAATTTAAAAAGTTAAAGTAAATTGATGTACATACCATATTTTTGGCTGTTTTCTTTTTATATCTCTCCCACGAATCTTCATCTCTTTTTCTCTTGCGACCAGTGTTTGAAAATTCATACTTAGACATAATCAGAAATAATTTAATAATAACAAAACACTATTAAACACAATGAAATTGAAAAACACGTTGTACAGCAGCGAACACTCAATATATAAAGAATAAAGTTTTTGTAATAGATTTATACACGAATAAGTGCGCGTTGCGTTAAGTTTTGATTTGTTTGCAATCACGCCGTCTTCAACTTCAATGCTTTATGCATGTAAATAAACACTTTTTAGACACAAAAAATGTAACCCATTTTATTTAAACCGTTTTTAAAAGTAAAAACAAATAAGTCGGTTAATAAAAGTTCAGATTTAGATGCAGAGATTTATTATTATTTTATAATTTGCCTAGAGTGACAAACAAAAAGAAACTTACTATAGGCAGACGATATTGTCGCTTTGACTGATTTGTGTGTTTATATTGCTGAACATCGACCTTATCGACAATGCCGTCTGGCAGTGTTGGATCGTGGATCGCGGAGTTATTTTGATTGGCGTTGCGTGTTTTTCATTAAAAATTGTGTATCTTCGTCAGTTTTGAATAAATCGATCTGAATTTTTCCACAAAACTTCTTCGATATGTGAGGAACAAATGTCTCACTGGAAGTTTTTTCAACGAAAAAGTTCCCCACAGACTTTTTTCGGCGAAGATAGGAAAACGAGAGTACAGGTAAGTTATTATTTAAATTAATAAATAATTAAATAATTTACGGTTTTTAACTTTTTCATCATGCTATCGTCTTCTCTAGACCTAAATGCGTGGGTATACCAAATTTGAAGTAAATTCATTAATATTTGTCGGAACTGGAACGATTTGTGTTTAAAAATTCAATAAAATTTGTTGTTTGAAAATATTTAGTTTTTTGCAATTATTGTCAAAACTATTCATTCTACAAAAAAAAGTTAAAGGAAAAAAAATGCGCCGTTTTATTTTCTACAACGTAGTATATTTCAAAAATCAAAACTTTGAATTTTAATTTTTTCGACTTTTTCATTCGTCGACTTGCTTCAGCGCGGCCGGTCCGAGCGTCCGTCTGGTTAATGCATTGGTGTCCTCAATTGGCAGTACTGTGACTATACTATGTACGCAGGCCATCACCACACTACAGGATCACGGATCGCTCCACATTTTTTTCATCGAATAACGATACGAAAACAAATAAACAAAGTTTATTATAAGTTATTAACTATTTGTGACGCGCTCCGAGGAAAGGTACCTAAGAAGCCAAACGACGATTTTACAGGAGAAGGGAAAGAACACGAGAGTGTGCTGTTGCGGAGACTTTCCGATATTGCTTACTTTTTCTTTCTTACCACTACTAACGTATATGTGTTCGAGTGTTTCCGGCAAATACACTGACTATAGTACAGTCATTTAGTGAAAGGTTATATTCTCTTTCAACATGTGACAGTTGTAGCTCATAATTTTAATACGAATATTTAATTCTGACAGCCCAGATTACTTCATTAATTTTGTAAATTAATAATTTAACAGTATAAATTAATATGATAAAAAAATATTATTGAAAATAGAAATAATGAATACACTTCTCGTTAATATAAAACGTCTGCTATTTATAGTTTATTTTCAACTTTCGGAATATAATATAAATCTTTCTAATTCTAACATTATAATAATAGTGAAAAATTTACAAAAAAAAATATATATTTATATATTCAAAAATAAAAATATATTATAATTTATATTATTAATAATATTTGTAGCAGACTTTGAATTTTAAAACTAAGACAAAGTATCTCCAAGACAAAGACAGAGTAAATTCGTTTTATGCATTAATTTTTAGCCGCAATAGATGTAAAAATAGTAATTACTTATATTTTCGACGATTTCACAGTCAATTTCTTTTTTTTAAATACGACCACGTATAAGTTTAAAATCAGTCTTTAC